GGCCGCCCCAACCGCGCGCGGTTTCAGCAGCCCCGCGGCGCACTCGCACACGAAGCGACATACGCCGCGGCCGCACCGTCGCTCTGAAGCGGCCGTGCCAGAGTCGGAGGACTGGCAGTTTTATGTGCTGTATTGCAGCGGCGAGGCGATGGGCCCGGCGTAGTCCGCCGCGCTCGTTTGCCCAACCGAACGCTACAAGAGTACTTGGAGGAAAGGAATCGGCCGGCATGGAGCACTGCGCAGCTTGCTGGGACGGACGGGGCCAGTTAGCTGTACACGACCGTTGCGGCATGTTGTAATAATATTGTGGCGATTGTTGTTCTAACACGTGAGGACGTTTGTGGTCTGCAGATTGCTTGTATGGCAAGTCTGTCCTGTTACATCCCGAGAGCGCAGATGAGCCGGCGCGCAGTGGGGTTGGCAAAGGGAACGGTTTGGATCCGAGTTATCTCGAATGTCGGGAGAAGTTGGCCGAGTCCGACGGAGCTGCTGCGGCTGCCATCCCGAGTCCCGACTCTGCCTGTTCTGGGCTACCGACGCCTGCAATCGCTGGAGAAAATCACCTGGGTGGGCACACCACTGACGCTGAGCTTGACATCCCGCCACCCACCGCAGTACGAGGTGCTCTGGGTTGCCATTCTACCAAGAACTTATCCGAGAGACGATGACTCACGACGTTGGCTACAAGCATGCTAGATTGTGCTAGATCCTTCTCTGCTTCCCTCCAAGGACAGGGTGGGGGAACAACAGGCAGGCATATGGGTGTGCATGTGTCGCGGTGTTGGCTACGCTCCAGGGCGAAGTTACCTGTTTTGGTGTTGAGTTCTTAGAGAGTGCATGAGTTCATCAGTTATGATTCAAATCATTGTGTTTTATGTCTATTTCTATTTACCCCTTGCCCTGATAGCTATGTATATAAGGCTTCTTACTTTGTAGCTAGAGAGCAACTTCACTAGTCCAAGAAAACAGACCTTACTCCTGTAACTGCAGCAGTGAACTCTTGTGTTGTCACCTGTCAAGGTATCGCCCTTGACCCTAACCCTAACCCCAGTACTTACTTGGGATGTGCTGGTAGTTACAAGAGGTAAGTTGCTTGACTTGTCTTGTGAGTTGTTAACTCAGAGAGTGTGTGTTAAGGGACCTGATGACTGAGGATCAGGAGTTCCACTTAAGACTACTACTGATAAAAGGTACTGTTACGCGTGAGGTTAACACACTATACTAGAACTAGGCTTAGAGACTGAGCCACTGCAACTGGCAGTGGTTTGAGAAAGTATACTGGTTGCAGCAACGCTTCAGACTAAGACTGGAATAGATAACTGAGTCTATTACTGAAGGTGTCCCTATGAAGGTATGTAGAGAACAAGAGGACAAAACCCAAGTACAGTAGCAAAGGTAGTGCTACTTTAATAGGGCAGGGCAAATAGAGTTTAATAAGTATGAAACACTGAGTTGGATCAGTGATGTACTAGAACAGTTTTCACTGGATTGTATCAGTGATGAAGATGAAACGCGATGGAGATGAAACACAATGTAGGTAAAACGTGATATAGATGAAACATGATAGATATGAAACACTGATATAGGTGAAACACATCAGTTGATGGGATCAGTCATACAGTTACAGGGTTAACGACGAACAGTTAGGAAAAGAAAAGAAACCCCCCACTCAAGCGGCAACAAAACATGATAGAGATGAAATGTGATATAGGTAAAATGTGATAGATATGAAACACTGATATAGATGAAACATATCAAGTGATGGGATCAGTTGTATAGTATAGGGTCAACAATAAATAGTTAGGAAAAGAAAAGGAACCCCCCTCTGACACTGTAACATAATGATTGTATGTCTAGATCTATGCTAGATAGGATTAGTGTTGAATGAATAGTGAGATGCACCTATAAGTTCTATGTACAGAACCACT